TCCTTATTCCCTTTCACCAAAGTAATTATTCTAGTAACAGGTTAAGTATATTGTAGAAATGTAAATGTAAATATTCTTCCTCTTACTCACACAGAAATATTTTAGAGGAAAGTGATCAAGATTCTAGTAATTTTGTAGTCCAAACTGAACATTTTCCTGGAAATGACTTGATTACTACTGACGAACGAATCATTATCATTATAACCAAAATTCTTGTTTAAGTACCAAAGGGTGCATATGCTACTAAACCAATAGAAATCATAGTAATGTCTTATATATTCCATATGTTGATCTTCCAAATAATTCACCAGCTATAGTCATCAGCACCAGACTGGGACCTTTGATGATACGAAATTTAGTCAAATCATCCAATCATGCACCAATATTTTGGAAACATATAACACCCTTCCTATTTGTATAGTTATCGCTGTTCAACAACTTGATAAAGACATTATAGAGCAAAGCTCACAGTACCAATAGTCCCGATTCCTTAGAGATATACCGTGTGCGTTTTGGGTAGGCAGTGCATATTAGTGTCATCAAAGGATGATATTTTCTGAAAATGGTAAGCGAATATATTATAGAATTGTAAATACTCTCTTACGTAAAAATGTTTAGACGATACTGATTGTGTCCTTCCATACGACTACAAACCAGTAAATTAATACTAACGAAGCAAGTAATCAACTTATAAATATAAATCTTAGTACCTGAAGCAGCATAAAACCATTATATTGCAGCACCAACATAGTTTATAAACAAAAATAAATGCGATGCCGTATATCCTCCTAACAATCCTTGAAGGACATTTTCACCTGTATTTATTGAAGTTCAAAATCAAAAGGACGAAATTTTTTTAGTATGTGCCATTCCATTTATAATATTAAAATAGTCGGCCATTATTTCTAAAGAAAAAAGAAAAACCAATTCATATCCGTATCTGTATCCTTGACAATCCTAGATTTTTTTTACTCACAAATCTTGGCATAGCGCAATATTTCAACACACAAACCTATCACTGTACAAAAGTTTAAACACGCCACTTTACAAAAAGCATTTCATCTTTATTTTTCAGAAGAAAACAATTATTTTTAGAAAAGTCTAAATAATTGTGTTTCCACAGTTGCAAGAATGTTTGATTGCAAATGAACATCTTTATTGTAGGACGTAGTTGTATAAAATTCAAATTGCTAATTTAGATGCCGATATACCTATATGAATCAATGAGACGGATAAATCCACTTTTAAAACGATAAAAAAAAGTAGACACGTTCTTCTAATAGTTACAATACAAAATGAACTTGAAGACGTTCAAGCAAAGAGATTAATGAAGGACCAGTAAAGAGTTTCCGTTATCAATTTCTTATCTAATCCCATATAAACATATCTTTCAGACAATTCTTTTTTGTACAAAATCAGAATTATACCTAACACACGTCAGATTTATCAATATAAGCGAAACCCCGGATACACAGCGTTAATATAACATGAGGTCGGTGTAACACGAATTTTTCTGCTCTCGTATTGTTAGTCAGTAAGATGAAGGTGTTTAAACTCAGTCTTTCTCACAAGAATAAGGGAAAACAGCGATCGACAACAGCAGTAAATGATAATCGATGACAGGTTTCAAAAGAAGACGTTTTTTCTTTCTGCCATCTTAAAAAAATGTGGTCAAGTTTAAACCAAAATATAATTGAAGGTTTGTGTAAAAGTACGAACCCGTTTAAAATACGAGCTAAAATGTTTGTTAAACAGGGTCAATTAATTGAAGTCTTACTGAATGTAGCACAATGCCCTCATACTTTTAAACCATTGTCTAACCTGCAGGTTTATTGATCTAATAATGTGAAGACTGAAACCAAATTAGAGGCAGGATATTTGTACCAATAAATCGAACATTCTATATTGTTTTACATGTTCTGTCTTTAAAGTAATTATTTTCAACAAACGAAGAAGTGTAACAACTTTAAAATTAAATCATTGTTACCTTAAGCTATTATTAAACCAGCTCAATTTTACTCTCGTGTTACAAATCAATATTGAATTTTTTTTTAGTATATAAGTAGCATTGACAATAAAAGAGCTTTTATTTTTTCTTTTTCTACTTAACCAATTTCACTCCTATCCTTTTTTTATCTTATTTCGCCCCCACCCTTTCCTTTTAAAAAATAGTATATTTTCTGACAGCTATATATTAATGGTTCACAAAACTTTTATTTTCTTCGCGGCTTCATGTATAACTGCTGTTACGTCTGCCAGTAATTTATTCACTGCTTTGGACACAACTTTGCACAAAGGCAACGGTAACTTCATTCTTCAATTGAATAACACCGTCTGTATCAAGGATTGTATGTCACAAATATTTATGATTGTCACACCTAATTTTCTCACATAATACCACTTTTGTAGTTGTTCCTCGTTTTATGGACAATGCACTCGAGGTTTTCACACAGTCCTTGGGAGAAGATAAATTCGTAAAGAGAAACAACAACAAAATCGTTAGACGTGATACTGAAGATGAACAAGTACATGTATTCGATGCTTATGAATTTGGATCCAAATTCAAAGGCATCACTGTCAAGTTTGAAGATCTTACCCTTGTCAAAGCGTTATTGGGATCATTTAACCATGATATTATCAAGATTATTCCTGACATGGATATCAAGTACGATTTGCCTACCCAAAAAGGTAAATTCTCGAAGAGATACTACGTTCGTAATGTTCAGAAGAAAAAGCATAGTCAGCGTGCTGGAAACTTTCACTACGACTCGTACAAGCACGATAAAAATTGTCCTCATGCTCATGAAGATGACAAGAACGAATTGCACAAAAGAGCTACTACATGTACCTCTGGCTCCTTGAACAAGAAGAAAGGAGATGGATACAACGGTTACTGTTGTGCCACTCAAGCGGATTGTAAAGAAAGCTGTATTAGCGGAAAATGTAATGGTCCTAAGAAGCCTACCACTACTACCAAGAAAACCACCACCAAGAAGACTACTACTACTACCAAGAAGACGACTACTAAGAAGACTACTACCACCAAGAAGCCTACTACTACCAAGAAGTCTACTACTACCAAGAAGTCTACCACTACCAAGAAGTCTACTACTACCAAGAAGTCTACTACTACCAAGAAGTCTACTACCACCAAGACATCTACTAGTACTACTGCCAGCGCTGCTGCCATAACAACCACTACTAGTAAGTCTGTCCCTACAACAACCACTACTACCAATGTAATCGTTCCCATTACTACTACCACCACCACTACTTCTACCACTACTACAACCACTGCTGCTGCTACCAGCACCCCCGAGGCTTCTTTTGTTTCCCAAAAGAACGCTCAATGGAACTTGGTTCGTATTTCCGAAAAGGCTCTTGATCTGACAAAGCCTTACATTTATAACTCTAAGGCTGCCTCTGATGTTTACGTTTACGTTATTGATGATGGTATGCAACTTGATCATGTTGAGCTTGAAGGACGTGCTACATGGGGATACTCCGCTTATAAAGATATTTCGCAACTCGGTTCAGGTCATGGTACTCATGTTGCTGGTATCATTGCCGGTAAAACATATGGTGTTGCCAAGAAGGCTAATTTGATTGCTGTCCAAATTCTTGATGAAAATGGTGATGGTGCTATCTCGGACATCTTGGCCGCTTTACAATTTGTTATTACTGATTCTAAGAAACATGCTGGTAAATCAGTTATTAACATGTCTGTCGGTTTGGACACTGGTGGTGCATCAAATCCTGCATATGTTGTATTGAATACTATTCTTAGTTCTGTCGTTGCAGCTGGTGTTCCAATGGTTGGAGCAGCTGGTAACTGGAAAAGTGATACCTGCGGCGTTTTACCTGCTGGTAACAAAGATGTCTTTGCTGTTGGTGCCACGGATAAGTATGATGTTCGTGCTGATTATTCTGGTTGGGGAACCTGTGTTCAAATCAATGCTCCTGGTACCGATATCATTAGTTCTTATGTTGGTAGCACCACCGCTACCACCAAGCTTTCTGGTACCTCCATGGCTTCTCCTCATGTTGCTGGTGTTGCTGCCCTTTTGATTTCTGACATGTCCGACGCTACGCCTGCTAAAGTTTACGCTAAGCTTAACTCTTTAGCAACCACTGGTGTCGTAAAATCTACTATAAATGACACCACCAAGATCCTATTGTTCAATGGACAAACCTTAACTACAAACTAATTTACATTATTATACTATCCATTGACAAGATTTATTTTTCATATAAAAAAAAAGTCTTAGTTTGCAACTTTCAATCATAAGGTTAAACAGTTTGTTAAAACTGTTTTTTACTGCGTCTTTACATATAAAAACCCTTGTTTTCGTTTCCTTAGTCTTCGTCCATCAGAATTATGATAGACAATATTTTTTTTTCCGTGCAGGGACATAATATAAAACATTATATGATAAAGTTTCGTTGCTAAAAACCACCTTTCTTTGTTTCCATAGCGAAGCTAAATTGGCACACACAAAATCGCGACACTTTAAAGATCATGTATATTTTGTTTTATAAAAAATGGCTGCGTAGTTAGAAGAGAAGTAAAGTTCGATTTTTTTTTTTTTTTTTTTTTTTTTCATTTTCTATCTTTTGGGTCAAGAGAACAATGAAAGGCGCCTCTCGTCCATATGAAGGACGTAGACTATATTTGTCCGTGGTGATGACGAGTGTGAAAAATGGATTTATCATAATTGCTTCAATTAGACATAATAACAAAGAAGAAGAAATTGTTTTATAACTATAAGATAAGCGGGTAATCTGTCAGACTATTTACAGCTACACTTATTTTTTATTCAGGATCTGCGTTTTATCAATAAAATTGTCCTACAGCAGACAGAATGATCCCAAGATATTACGTAATACAGGAAACGAAAATGTTTGGCCCTGTACCAGTTATGAGTCAACGTTAGTGACGGTCTATTTCCTATTTTAGATGCGTGATGAAAAGAGATAAAAAAGAAACTATCTTTTGTTGGAAACTATTCTTCTTTTTTAGTAGCAGTATACTTTTATAAATGAGTACTTTTGGTAAACTTTTCCGTGTCACCACCTATGGTGAATCCCATTGTAAGGGTGTAGGTGCTATTATTGATGGTGTGCCTCCAGGAATGGAATTATCTGAAAGTGACATTCAACCTCAATTATCACGTAGAAGACCTGGCCAAAACAAATTAACAACTCCTGTAACGTGTTAGTCATGTCAGCATATATAACCTGTTTCTCATATTCTTTTTTTTTTTTTTATATATGTATTTGTAGCGTGACGAAAAGGATAAAGCTACCATTATGTCTGGTACTGAATTTGGTGTTACTTTGGGTACACCTATTGGTATTCAAGTTCCTAACGAAGACCAAAGACCTCACGATTACAACGACACAGATATTTTCCCTCGTCCTTCTCATGCTGATTACACCTACCTCCAAAAGTACGGTGTCAAGGCTTCTTCAGGTGGTGGAAGAGCTTCTGCTCGTGAAACCATTGGCCGTGTTGCCGCTGGTGCCATTGCTGAGAAATATTTACGTTTAGCTTACGGTGTTGAAATTGTTGCTTTTGCTTCCAGCGTCGGTAGAGTAGCTATGCCATTCATCAGTGAATTAGACAATGCGGATACAGCTGAGCCTGAAGTCATTGAATTTATGAACACCATTACCCGTGCTGATGTGGATGCTGATATTTCTCGTTGTCCTCATCCTCCCACCGCTGAGGCCATGAAGGAATTGATCGCCCAAAAATCTCATGAGAAGGATTCCATCGGTGGTACAGTTACTTGTGTTATCCGTAACTGTCCTATTGGTTTGGGTGAACCTTGTTTCGATAAATTGGAAGCTGTTTTAGCACATGCCATGTTATCTATTCCTGCTACCAAAGGCTTTGAATTCGGCTCTGGATTCAATGGAACCAAGATGAGCGGTATTGAACACAACGATCCCTTTGAGCAAAAGGAAGACGGATCTATCGGTACAACCACCAATAACTCTGGTGGTGTTCAAGGTGGTATTTCAAACGGTGAGAATATTTATTTCCGTGTTGCATTCAAGCCTGCAGCTACCATCTCTCAAGATCAAACTACCGCTAATTATGATGGTGTCACTGGTACCTTGACTGCTAAGGGTCGTCATGATCCTTGTGTTGTTTCAAGAGCTTGTCCCATCGTGGAAGCAATGGCCGCTCTTGTTATTATGGATGCTGCTTTGCAACAAGAATCTCGCCGTGCTGCCTTCTCCAAGTTACCCGCCATTAATATCAACCACGCTTTGTTGGGAAAGGCACCCAAGAAGGATTAAAAATCTCCCCTCATATCCTTTCCATAGAACGCTTCATTGTAAAATAATATAAAATAGTACATTTGTTTTTTAATCTAAATATCATGATTATATTCTTGGTGGATATTTAGTTATTGCAGAAGTTGCATGTCTGCATTGACAGGCGAAATAATTTAACCTTATTCGTAACCATTTAAGAAAAGTTATTTGTATTGTACGTCGTTTCCAACCAAACCTTAATTATCATTACAGGGTGATACAAAAGAAGCCTAGTAACATATGACATTCATGTCAATGAACAGAGTAAAAGCATAGGTCATGGTATATTCCGCATGGCTGATAGGTTTCCTTACTGTGTAATGCAAAAAGATTACTCTTTTTTTGACAATTTGACATCGTGACTGTTGATTTGAGTTTCATTCTCGGTCCTTCTGGAGCTTTTTTTTTTTTTTTTTTTTTTTTTTTCAATATAAATACCAGCCGAAAAATATTTTAAAGTTTTTTCAAACTTTCAGAAACAAAAGAAAAATGTCTGCTCCTGCTGAACCAATTTTTGTCGACCTTAGTGAGAGTGCACCCACAGAAATCGAGAGTTTGTGTATGAAGTGCCATCAAAATGTAAGCTCCCCTATCAAAGCGTGTTTTACGCCTTTTTTTTTTTATATATATGTTTATTAATAAGCGTTGTATAGGGTACTACCAGAATTCTTCTCTCAAAGATTCCTCATTTCAAGTAAGTCATCGAAACGGTTTTGAAAAGCTCTTTTTGCTAACTGGAGTCTCTTATAGAGAAATTATTATTATGGCTTTTGAGTGTCCTCACTGTGGTTTCCGTAATAACGAACTCCAAAGTGCTGGTGTTTTCAACGAAAGAGGACACACCATTAAATTGAGTATCCAGAACAAAGAGGTAAAATAAAAATCACATATAACCCGGCCCCCTCCCCCCTTTTTTTTTAATAGGGATAGACGTGAGCTAATCAGTGATGTTATAGGATATGAACCGTCAATTAGTTAAATCTGATTATTGTTCCGTCCAATTTTTGGAACTTGATTTAGAAATTCCTGCCAATAACAACCGTGGTCTTCTCACTACTGTTGAAGGTTTGGTCGATAATGCTATTGACGATTTAACCGCTGGTCAACCTCTTCGTAAGGCTGAAGATGAGTTTGTTTATAACAGAATTGAAGAGATTATCGAAACCATGAGAAGTTACAAGGAAGGACACCCCTTCACTCTTGTCTTGGATGATCCTTCTGGTAACTCTTATGTCGAGAACAAGTGTCTCCCTGCTCAAGATCCTCAAATCAAATTGAGATGGTACAACCGTACCCCAGAACAACAAGCTTTCTTGGGTCTTCAAGAAAACCAAACTCCTGCCGAAGCCGCTGCTGCTGCTGCTGCTCATGATCTTTCCGATAGAACTATTTATAGTGCTACTGCATCTGAAATGTTAAACGCTAAGGGTCTCCCTGAAGTGATGTCTTTCCCTGCCAACTGTCCCAGTTGTAATGCTCCTTGTGCTACCAACATGCATCTTATGGAGATTCCTCATTTCAAGGAAGTCGTGATTATGGCTACTAACTGTGAATCATGTGGTTATAAGAGTAACGAAGTGAAGGCCGGTGGTGCCATCTCTGATAAGGGTAAGAGAATCACTCTCAAGATGACCGAGGCTGAGGATTTGTCCAGAGATATTCTTAAATCCGAGACTTGTGGTTTGAGCATTCCTGAAATTAACCTTGAATTAACTCATGGTACTTTGGGTGGTCGATTCACCACTGTTGAAGGTTTGCTTAGACAAGTCCATACTGAGCTTCGTGACCGTGCTCCTTTCATTGAAGGTGATTCTGGTACTGAGTCCGGTAAGGATAGATGGGCCCGTTTCTTGGATAACCTGACCAAGGTTGCTGATGGAAAGTTGTTGCCTGTTACTCTCATCATCGATGATCCTTTGGCCAACTCATACCTTCAAAACCTCTATGCTCCTGACCCAGACCCAGAAATGACGATTGAGGAGTATGAACGTAGTTGGGAAATGAACGAAGACTTGGGTGTAAACGACATGAAGTTGGAGAACTATGAACAACACGAAACTCCTGCCAAGCATGAAGCACCCCATGATGAAGAGAAGAGCAATTGACTCGCTGATAGTAAACGTAGAAGATTAGATTAATCATTTTTGCATCACTATTTAAACTTGTAACTTTATACTATTTAAAAAAATAAATAAAAAATAAAAAATATTGTACAGTACATCATATTTATCAGTGCTTTTGTCTAGAAAGTATCCGTTTCTTAGTCTGATAGGATTATCAGCTAATAACAACTGATCAATCGCTCCATTTGCAACCGGAAGAACATAAGCTGAAAATTTTTAATAGTGATTCAACTTCTAATATTATCTCGTCGAAGGATAAAATATATTCTTTCTTGTACAGCTACTAGCAACCTTTATTGTATTCAATCAAATTCTGTATCCTTAGTAACATTTCATACATTGACGTTTTGATGTTCCGCCAACTCTTTTTTTTTTTTTTTTTTTTACTGGCCGGGGGTGAAGAATAATAAAAAGATATAGACTTCTTTTTTTACAGCTACATTCTTTTTTTTTTCTTTTTTTTTTTTGCAAATATGGCTTATAGAGCAGCACCCACTGGACTTGCCAAGCATGTTTCCAACATGTTGAAGGGAAATTTAATGAAAAAGTCACCCGTCTGGCTTCCTGTTGTTCAGGCTATTCCTCCTGGACCCAGTGTGATTCGTTCTCAAAACCCTGAAGTCAATGTTTCAGGTCAAACCGAATTAGAACAAACTTTATTATCAAAGCCTCGCAACACACATCGTCTTCGTCATTCCGAAAAGCATTTACGTACACCTCCACCAAGACCTCGCGCCATCGTCTACCCTGAAGATAAATTAAGAAGACAATTCTTCAAGGATCACCCATTTGAATTAGCTAGACCCAAGGTCTTGGTCGAAAACGATTTAGGTATTAACCGTACTGATTTCAGTAAATTAATGTTGGACGGTATGCATCCTGCACAAATTGACGGTGAAGCGTAAGTGACATGATTTATTTTGACATGGGGTGTATTAAAAAAAAAAAAAAAAAAAAATTGCTAAACCGTAAATTTTTTTTTTTTATTTATTTTATTGGATAGTGTCATCAAATATCAACTTCACTTGATGACTCATGAAGGTATGCCAGAGAGAAAGGCATACGCAAAGGCAACATCAGAGTTTTATGAAATCAGAGCACAACAAGAAGAGGATGAAAGAGCTGCTAGAGAAAAGATGAGCAACGTCTTACAAACTCTTCAAAGCAAGAAGTGGACTCAAAAGGCCTTGTACCTTGAAGAAAGAGCCTTGAAACAAGGTCAAACCACCAACTCTCAATTTTAGAATATAAAAAAGAAACCGAAAATAAATAATAATAAAAAAAAGTTGAATAAAAAAAAAAAAAATAGTGGGGGGAATGTGTATTAAGTAATTATGGGGGATTGAAGTACAGGTGTAAAAAAAAAAAAAAAAAAAAAAATCCCAATCAACCAATAGAGAATAATTTCTTTTCACCTGTTGGCTCAGTTTTTGGATCCGTAAATCCTAATTCTTCTGTAAGTGTAAGAGCCAAATTTAATCTGACTGCCAATCTATGTTCAAAATCATGCTTTCCATGATCCAAAGCCATCTCCCAAACTTGTCGGCTCTTGTTTTTCAAATCAAGTGTCCAACAAGCAATACCAGCTTCCCATAAAGCATAAGGCACGGCCCAAGTGTCTTGCAAGATACATTCTTTGTGATCCAGAATCCAGTTAATATCTAACGTGGTTTCCTCTGCTAATCCCATCACATTCAAAATCGAGGATTTAATCACGAGTAAACTAGCTCTTTCATCAAAGTAATCCGGTAATGGTGTATCAGGTGCAATTTCCAGCATACGCTCTTCTTGTACAACTTGCTCACATTTTTGGATGGTTGTTAACCCACGTTGGATACGATCCAAGGCAATCTTGAGTAAATCATGGTTGACATAAGGGAAAATATTCCAAATGCACATGAATTCCAAAATAGGTGCATAGAAATCCAAATTTTGATATCCACTCTTTTGAAACATGGTCACTTTACGAAGTACATAACTATCAATATCAGATAATCGACCCCCTAGTTTCTTTACAACTAGGTCTGAGACCTGTGCAAAGATTAAGACGGCTTCTGTGCGTGCTCCCATCATTTCATAACATGCTCCCTGTGCATATTTACAGAACGCAGCAGACCAGTAATGTTGCTCACACAAGTAATCAAAGGTGGATGCTGCGTGGCTCCAATTACCAGTAATCATATGATTAATAGCCATTTCAAATCGGCAAGAGTTGGTGACAGCAACTTCAGCCCATTCACCCCGACTCACTTCCACAGTATACAAAAATGATTGTGTAGATAGTGGTAAATCCAACCCGTTACGAGCCATACGTCCAGCGAAAAATAAATACAAGGCAGAATTAGGGTGATGTCTTTGTGCATCTAATAAAATCTGAAAAAAAAAAAAAAAAAAAAAAAAAATGATGGTCAGCAACTCTTTTCTGAAGGCTTGTGAGTGATTGAACTCACATCCATGGCAGTCTTTTTATAAACTTCAGTAAGGACTTGGGGTGCAAAAGATATAGCAGCAGTGTAATACGACATAAGCATGATGGTAGCCATGGAAGATCGAACCCGTTTTGCTTCTGCACACTGATTTAACAAAATAAACCCAAGTTGTTTATCTGGCTTCCAACCAAATGCACTGATGGCCTTGAGAATTTTAGCAGGTAAAGCTGATAATACTAAATGTACAGATCCAATACTAGTACGATAAAAAAAGAACAAAGGGGGGGGGGGAAGTATGAGTAAAATTTTGGCATTTAGGCACAAGTATAAAAAATTATTCTCACCCGAATTGTACACCAGATATAGTATCAGAATCCATGAATGCTGAATGATCTGCACCCATCTTTTGATATTCTTGCCAAACATAGCTGTACGAACTGTACGCCTTACGTAAATTGAGCCCACATTTTACGTAACCCATAACAGACTCTTGTAATAACTGTAAAATAGCAATCTGAAGACAACATTCAGCTTTCAAGACATGAGCTCTTAAAACACCATTAGGTGGGTAGTCTCCAGTTTGACGTGGTGCTGGTGCTGTTACAGGATCATTTATGGCTGTGTTGTCCTTCTTTTTTAAATAGTTGTAGTATCCCGAGAAATAACCTGATACTTTGGAGGAAATGGTGGTTGCTTCAAGTTGAAGGTTAGCGATTTCATAAGTGACGTTTAAAGCGTTTAATGCCATTGTTTGATCTTGATCTGCTGAAGTCTAGAGTCATCCAACAGTGAATTAGTACCCGACTTGTGTTACCCTCATAAAAATTTCTCTCTCTCTCTCTCTCTCCCTTACCATGACAGCTTTTATTGTGTGAGAAAAAAGAATGTTAAAAAAAAAAAACTTGGGGGGTTAGGTTATTCTGTACGAGATTTGTATTATTAGTTACCTTTTAAAAAGGCCATAGAACTTAGTGCTAACGCATGCAATGGATCACTAAATGATAATAACCATGATGTCTTCTATTAATAAAAAATTTCCTTTTCCTTTCTTCTATGCATACCAATCTGCTTTTTCCTCAAATATTCCTTTTGCAGTCATGAATTGATTATCGAATAAATGATCTAAACCTTGAATCACGTTTTCATCTGAGTTGATAGAATATTAGTTTTTGTTTTTACGACAGTAAAAGGGAACAATAGCCTGGAAGCCTGTTTGTAACCCGTACCTTCCTTTTCTTGCTGTCTGGGGGTCAGTGTATTGATAGCTACATCGCCCTTGATGATTTCAATAAGATTCGCACTTGCTTTCTCGGGATCTCGTCTCTTTTTTCGGAATCCCCGGTCGGTGGATGAGGAATAAACTTTTTTCTTTGTAACTCACGATCCTCCGACGACATGAGTACAACTTCTTTCAAGACATTGGTAATCTGCTCGATTTTCTGCTCGGACATGGTTTACTACAAGAAAAGAGAGAGAGAGAGAGAAAAAAAAAGAGAGTTCAAGGTACTCTTTATATGAATGGCCGCGGAGGAGTAATTTTATCTTGCCAAGTGTTACAAGGAAATCACATTTTGGGTAGGTTGTACCTGGATTTTTTATTCCCCACAGTATTAGGACATCGTAACCTTGGGTACCTTCTCAATTGTTTCTTCGGTTTTTCCCACAAACTAAAAACAGTTGCGATACAGACCAAAATGAAAAAATTGGTAAAAAAAAAAAAAAAAAAAAGTTTAAAGCACAAGAATTTTTTTATTTATTTATTTTTTCATTTAAACGCTGTGTGACATGAGTGCAAAAGACAAATGCTACTGTATCTAATGGGCATTAATTCGATCAGAATCAACTGGACAATAAATTGTCTGATTTCCATCAAAGTCAATTGATTTTGGCTTATACGACTGAGGCAAAAAAAGTTGATTCCAAATGACTTTGGAAACCCATTCATGGCCCTTTAGACTAGGATGAAAGCAATCTAAGGTACTAAGTAAAAAGTAAAAAAAATTAGGAAGCCTTACTTGTAAAGGACGTATGATAGATTTACCTAAAGAAATCAATTGGAAATGCTGGGATATTAAACTTGATCGGTTGGTATACCACAGTAAAGTTATGAAACTTGCTCTTTTGGTATTTCTTATATATCTGGACCAGTTTTTCATTGTAGGCTGTTTAAAATATGCCATTAGTTTTTTTTTTGAGTTAGGCTAAATCAATCAATGAATTATCAGTTACCATTGTTTAGTTGGCTCATTATTTCAAGGCCTCCAGGTACAGAAGCACAGGGACATAAGTCAATGTTTCTGTTGACACAGTGGTTTGGGTATGCTTCTGTGAGAGGAAAAACTTGTGATACATTGAATGTACTGATCAAATTTACAATCACGTTTGGGACACTCGCGTGAATTCTATCAATGGCTGCCTCAATATAGCCACCATATTTTTCGGGAGTGACCTCGTTGACATACGAAGTGTTACACGCACCGCACATATCGTTACTGCCGATCTGGATATTAATCATTTTCCAATCATTTTCGAAATCGATACCCTGTATGTTTTGCATACCTGTCAAACAAGGGAATTTAGGTTATTTAAGAAAAAAAAAACCAGTGCACTGGTAATAACAGTAGCTAGTTTTTTTTTTAAAAAACCTACTTTCAATCAAATAGTCAAGCTCATAACCTAAATGCATGGAAGTTGCACCTGTCAATGCTGCGTTTAAACCATCACCGCCATTTCCCACTAATAGTCATATCAATAAAAGTATATTTTTTTTTTAATCACGCCAAAAAAAGATACTTACAAAGAGATAATGTCCTATTGCAGTTATCAGCTAGGAACAAAAAAAAAAAGGCTACGTTAACAAAAAAAAAAGTATCTTGGAATTTTTTTTTGTGTCAAGTGTGTACTTACGATTACATGTTTGGACAGGATGAGCACCTTTTGAAAATCCTGTGATATTGGGCTGATAATGCTCAATATAATTGGGAATAGTAAAGGCGTTCTTATCACCACCGATACCGTAACTTAGACCTCTATATTCATTTTTTGCATTTTCCATTGCAGCAAGTTGAGGAATGGATAAATCGAACCCCATAATTCCAAAACCAGTAGTGATGCTTTTTAAAAACAAGAAAAAATTATCGAAAACATGTCATCAACATACATTTTATATATATATAATATGGCACTTACCTGTCACCAAGGGCTCCGATCACCTTAATATCATCAGCACGGAGATCATTGACATTGGTAGGTTTACAGCGAGGGGTAAGGGAAGGACATTCCGTGATATGTGTAACATTTTTTGCAGCCGTAAGAGCTGTAAGGGACGTCAAAATAATTAAATACAAGGAAGAACGAGTAGGCATTTGGGGCAAACAAAGTAACGAAATAAATAAAAAAATAAAAACATTTCTTTTATATGCCCCCCCAGGAAGAGTGAAATTTCCTGAAAAAATAAATAGATAAACAATGTGACCCTCATAAGCCATAAAGACTCTATTATTAGCTGCTAAAAAAAAAAAAGCCTGTGTTTATTGTCCATTGTAGGACCGGCTCTATTTAAGGTAAAAAGGAATCGTTTGGAATTCTGCGCTACTACAAATAATAATAATAATAAAAAAAAACTGAATGACTGATATGACTGTACAGAAATTATTTTGGGCAGAATGAGATCGATCTTTACAGAGTGACGAGTGAACAAAATTTGCATTGTACTACTCACATTTCTAGCATGATGACGATGTCTTACATAATGTCATTGTTTTGATTTGGAGCAATAAACGATCGAGAGCATAAACGATGCATTTGGGTTTTTGTATTCTTATTAGAGAGCATTTTCAATGTATAAACAGTCCCACGTTACCAATTTTTTTTTTCGATCAGCAGCATCTCGATGATAAAGTAAAAAAGCATTTTTTCTAAAAAAAAAATTCTTTAGCATCATCAACCCTCATTCTTCGTGATTTTTTTTTTGTAAGTTAAATGTGGGTAATCTTTTTTACGTTATAATTATAGATGAGAGCAGTTTAGCATCATGCACAAGAAAAAAGGCTTATTGTGTTGAGCTGGGGGGGGGGGCAATTTAACGTATTCTACAAAGCAATGGCTTGCTTTTGCCGCAGCAGCAGTGATAAATGTTTACCACAAACATGACTCTTGAGCCGTTGTTAGGCAGCTGATATTTATATTAAAAAGGGGTCAGTAAGCCGATGCTGATATCATGATAAACCTTTTGATGGTTTTCTTTTTTTTACATCAAAAGATGTTTGACTTTGGGGATTATTTTTTTCACTAATGCTGTACAGACTTCAAAAATTAGGATTGTGACACCTTAATTCTTTTTTTTTCAAGTGCATGGCTGTCCGAAAAAAAAAAAACTTGTCTGACACCTAAACACCTTATCAGCAAAATAGTATTAGTCTAAAGTAGTAAGACGGCTGCGTGGTCTGGTGCAAGCCAAAAAAAAACAAGAAGAGTCGATTAACGTCATGACTCAGGGATTTGAATTCTATATGCATTAATAAACTGAAAATTACAAATTCAACAATGGTTGTCGAGGTCTTGTAAGGTTATAAATGTGATTGTCTTTAAACAAAGTCGCGTTTATTTGAAAATTAGGTATTCTATAACTCTTTCACTTGCACACTCTCATTGTTAATTTAATGAAGGGAAGACCATTCACACTTCCCAAGAGCATTTGAAACCCGCTTCATGCATTTGGATAGAAGCAAACTTCAGCCAATAGAATTGCTGGAAAACTTTTTTTTTTTTTATAATCAAGCCAAAAAAATAATTTTCTTTTTTAGATTTTTTTTTGGCCCGTATGACATGTCTGGGGGGACGGGACTTAATTAATTTTTTTTTTTGGCGAAGCCAAAAAAAAAAATTGAATTTATGCGGATAAAACTGAAGTTTATTGAGCCGTTTATCAAAGATATCCATACGTGTCTAGGGTTTTAAAACTGTAACTAGAGAAACATGTCTCAAGTTTTTCTAAATATGTGCTTGTTTATTTTTTAAAGAGAGATGGATCTACATCTGTTTCTGTTATTACGACCAGGACATGTCTCAGAATCGCCACAAATTTGACATGTCCTGATACGTTTACGCTTATATGGATTGGGAGTAGTATTGTAGGAGTTGCTTAAAATCAATTGTCTAGGAGCAACTGTCTGCTGTGAGACGGGAACATTGGGTGAGATATTTATGAAAAAGTTTTGGTTATTTGTTGGGACGAGAAGCCTATTCGGTGATATAACAATATTCTTCGAGGGTTGTAAAAGCGGGTTTGCTTGAGGTAATACTTGAGGTTGCATAGTTTCAGATATTACAGATTTAACTTTTTGAATGATGTTACGATGTTTTTGGATAGAATTTGCAATAAACTTGTTTTCTTTGCAAATATTGTAATATGATTTTAGGTGTTCTGGTGTCTTGTAAAATATGCTTACACCATCAGCAGACGTATTCCAATGTGAAGCAAAATGACTCCAATCAGGTTCGGTCGATGATTCATAGCTGCATGAGAGCATATTTTCAAAAAGAGCCTTCTCATCATTTGAATGCACTGGAACAATTGCGAATTTTGCTTGTTGCTTTTGTGCTATGTATTCGAATCTATTATTCAGTACACGCTTGGTGGATGGAAGCTGTAATAGCACCGTGTCAGATACAATAGAAGAGCTTGGTCTGTCCAACTCGCTCGAGATCAGAGACAAAGTATTGTTCTTTTCAATACACAAGGTCACCATTTCATCGTCCGAGATAGGGCTAATGCCAAATACTTCCTTAGAACTGCAAAAGTCCAATGCATTTGGTACAGGTAAAGAGTTAAGTCGACTTGCGGGAATATGCAAGGACAATCTCAGTTTTTCAATATGCTGATTGATCCATGGGTCATAATGGCCCTTATGCTCATATCCAAATCTGTTCAGCGTACCAACCTATTAAAAATAAGTTAATACTTCATTTTGACAAAAAATTCAGATATTTACATCGATGTTGTGCCTAAGTCTGTATTCTGTGAGAGCACAATCAGTTAACTCGGGTCCTGCTCCAAATGATCCAAATTTTTTAATTATGTTTTGATGAACACCCCCTTCTAAAGAATTGGTGCCACGGATACATCTATACAAAGTTAGACCGTCTCGATCTTTACCACGAACATGGTACAAAGACAGACCCGGGGGATCTGACACATGTCCATCCTTTACTGCAACGAGAACATTTACTGCACTTTTCCATGCCACCTTGTCAAACAAAGGTAAACCAGATTTCGTACATTTAAGGGAACCAAATGACAGAAAAAGGTTATACAAACTGGAATATAAGATATGAGGAGGTGGGATATTTCGTTTGATCCGTTTCCAAATCCAGGTGGAGTTTTTGTTCAATTGATTTTCGAAGCTTGTTCCATTGCGTGACAGAACGATGGACACTTTTTCTTTGTCATCCGCATCTAATACAAACAAACAATTTCTGAAGTTTTTTTCAAATTCCAGTTTAAGCGTGTGTTTGACTCCTATTTTAATTGAATCCATAAGATGGAAGACATCTTTAACTACTCTGGTAAAAAGCCTTTCGTCTGTCGACTCATTGATTGAAGTAGTGAGGCGATTTTTAAATTGATTAAATCCGTATTCAAAGTTTGACAAATCAACATCTTCTATATCACCACCGAACAAATTCCGAGCCACAGCTGTTGCAGAGATATTGCCACTGTCTTCTTCATTATCTTCGACTACAGATTCGGAGGTTCCATTTATACCGCCATTTATTTCAATATTATTTGAGGAAGGTGGTCCGCTGGTTTTCTTGTTAATCTCTAAATCAACGTGTCTCTTGCTCTCGCTACGCAAGAGCGACTTGTCAACCAGAACGGTATACGGAATATTATTCTTTATAGACTCGAGTATCACCTCTGGCTGATTATCATTTACTGCAGGCACTACAAAGCTAGAAATAACAATACAGATAATAGAAACTTCAACTATAGTTTTGTTTGAAATCGTTTCTGATGAGTTGACAATTGCATATGCGGCTACGCCAAATGAGGACCACAAAGAGACATACTGGCCAGCTACCGGGTCGCCAATAATCTCCTCGTTTGTATTTTTTAGAATATCATATATTTCCAAAGAAACCCATGCGTCTAACGCAGCGTAGCGAATTTGGCCTGGAGTGAGCTCATGAGCGTATGACCAATCACTAATTCTAAGGTCTTTTGACAATCCCTTTCCGAGTAGCTCTTTGCAAATTGCTGAAAGAGACGAACTACCAGACCTAATGGCTCTTTTTAATCGACAAAACCGGCCTAACTCAAAAGATCCCTCACAATCAACACCAAACGAGTCCTTGATTTGCTTAAAATCTCCACCAACTTGGCGTCCAATTTTCAAAATTACTGGTGATTTCAAAAAGTATACCAATGATTCTGGCAAAGTTTCCCAAGTAGGGTCAAGATGTATAACCAGTACAGACGAATTGTGTGCGATCTGGATTACGGATAGCTTCCCTTTTACATGCGTGTTTCTATTATACGGCCACTCACAGTCAAAGCCTGTGACGACCGATGATGGGCAGCTCTCTAATCCATCACTACCGACCACAAAATGAAAATGTTCGGCCAGTAAATTCTTCATTACGCTTTCAATCTCTTCATAGTTTCGCAAGTAGCTTACTTGAATGTTTACCGGTAGTGACAAAGCATTGTAATTTTGAGCCTCGTTTTCATCATTAACCATTCTACTAGGTCTGCAACCATCCTTTAAGGAAGGTATAACGCTTTCCAAGAATCGTCGATCGCCTCGCACATTGTCTGTATAAAAGGCTACTGGCTTTTCATGGCTGTAGCCTTCGTATGCATTCATTAATTCGTTGAAAGACCATCGCAAATGTTCAAGTGACTTTGTGGGTACCAGCAACATCATTCGGATTTCTTCGAATTCGTTACAAAGCGTGTATAATGCAGTAAAAATGCTGGTTCCATCAATGCTCGCCATGTGTTTAACAATCTTAAAGGAGTGATCACCTTTCAAGACCTTTCCACCTAACAACATCATTTGCTTGTCCATATTGGGTCTAAGCGTTTCGATGATGGAGGTGTAAACTGTTCGAATATATGTCTGAGTTGGCGTATAACCTGCATATCCGTTTTGATTGTCAAAAGACGAAAACGGTTCGATGATTGTTGGGGTAGAAAAGAATTGAGTAATGTTTTGCTCCCCATATTTAGCCTTTATAAAACATGTAAATATCAAAACATATAAAAAATAGGATTAATAGAATAGATACCTTCATGGCAGTGAGATATTGAAGCTCACTGCGATCATGCTTTAAAATGTGGAGCTCACGCAGAACTTTTGCAATTCTTTCAGGACCCATCGAGTTCTGTATGCAGGGTCTTAGAAGGTCACCCACTTGCTTCGAAACAGCACCTCTATGACTAAGATATGCCGGGAATTCAGCCTGCAATTGAATGGGTAATTGGCGCATAATCTTAGAATCGTATCCATTGAACGTACTGCCACAACTACTACTCAGGCATCTGTACCTTTTTGTCATAATATAAAAACATCTATTACAACAATAGCTAAAATTAATATTCCAAAATAAACAGAATTAAGTTTACAGGTTTGACTAACCTGTCAAGATCAACAATGCGGCGAGTATGGGGTTTCTTATTGAAACCTTTGGTTTCAATAGATGATTTACATGTCGGACAGTACAAATCATTAATCTTATTGCTTAATAATAAGTGTGGAATCCATAGGAAAATATCTGGACGATACAAATACTCAACGGGTTTCTTTTTCAATAATGCAAAAAAAGGTTGCATGGGACGAATCCAGAATGTACCAGTATTATATTCAGCTGGCATTGTTTCTTCTGTCAATCTTTTTTGGACTTCTTCGAAGTAGTTGTACAGTACACTATTCTGAACTTCACCAGACAGAAATGCTTGCTCGTCTGTCACGCTCTCGTCATCACTAGTACTATCAGTCTCGGTTATTATACGATTGACGATGTCTTCTTCTTCCAACGCAGTAAAGGCATTTTGATCATCTACAGCCGGCAATTCGTTTACACGGCTGTCAGAAAGATTGATTTCGGGGACATCAACATTTTCCTGAATTATTGATTCTTCAATCACAGCCTACGTTCTTTGTTAGTTTCTTATAATCATGCAAATCATTTATCCAATTTACCTCATTGGCTTGACTTGAGCTTTCGCCATTTTGGTTAATTTTTCGCATACTTTGAAATAAAGTAGTTTGTTGGGGGTCAACTCTTTTTGGGGCGGATGGTCTTCCGGCTCTATGGCCCACAGAATTTTTTTTTCCAGGTGGTCTTCCTGTCCTAGCCATATTTTTGGAAAGAATTAATTGTGAAAGAAGTTTTTTATAAATTAAAAAAAACATACCTTGTACATTTTTTTTAAAAAAAAAACCAATCCCCGCTAATGTCTTCAGGTTTCGAAAGACATTTCAGATAAATGTAAGGTGTCTTGGGTGAAATTGTTAATACTAAAACAAAAGAATGTATGCTACAATCAACTACAATAACAGATAAAATCACTTGAAAAGTTGTCATGCTTTCGGTAATCCGTTACTTTTATCGAGGTCCCTGTGTACTAAATTGTAGGTAAATCAAGCTCAACCATTTCACAGTAACATCTCCCTAGTTAGGTATTGTGTCACCTATTTACAAATAAATGTTTTTTCAGAGAATTTAAGTTATATAAAAATATAGCAGAACATAAAATATTGATCTATTAATATTAGAAAGTTTTGGGGATTAATTTTTATTGAGCTAAAAAGTAGAATTTATCGTTTTGTTGCACGAACAAGTCAAGGTTTGCACATAAATCTTTGAGAAATCAGTCAATAGTTACTGTCAATATAATTTATTTCGAAGTACCTACTTTCTTTAGACCCATGCTGTTATATGTGTGCTAGTTTTTATAAGAACAGTAAAAAAATCATCGAGGATGCTACAAAAAAGCAGCAGTGTAACATTTAAAGAAGATTTGAGCCCTAAAACTCTCTGTGTAGTTAGGTATAAGGCATCTGCACTTCTTCTCCTGTCTATTGAGCCAGCCAATCAGGTTCATACTTAGTGATCGGAGAGATACTAAATCAAAAATCTATTGGCTATTTTTCAAAATCAGGGCCAATAGAATTAAAAGTTAGTGATCGGAGTGCCCCCCAGACTTGTCAGCCAGGCCTTTTTTTTTTTCATTTTCATTAATATTAAAAAACCGCGTTGGCGGGAAAAAACCAAAGCCCGATAAACAAGGCGAATGATTATTTTTAAAAAACCGCGTTAACGGTAAAAAACCAAAGCGAATGATTTTATTTTAAAGAAAAAGAAAAGAAAAAAAAAATGAGGAAAAATCCTGCCCTTTTATACCTTTTCCCCCTCCCTTCAAAAAAAAATTTTTTGGGTAAGAAATCACAAGACACTTTTCGTGACGGGGATTTTTTTTTTGCTTCATGCAAAAAATTATTTTCATGTGATTCGCGCGTTTTGCTGCGCAATACCACTGTCGCGCGCGATACTAGTCCCTCAAACGTTACACAGCTCCATCTCTTTCCAATAAAATTCACTTTATTAAGAGCATGTAAACTCATGGTCTTCTTTGTAAACTATGTTCGCGTTTAAACGCTTTCTATGCTACTACACGATAACGTATTGGAGGCCCCTCACAAAATATTTTTGGCCGTTTTCCCCACAATCTCAAAGGCCAACCTATTCCAATCCTGCAACGGCTAAAAGAAAATGAAAAAAGATTCGTATAAAAAAAGAGCACTTGGGTGATGTTCTTTGGTAGTCATCTGCTCCATGTTTCAATAGAGAGACGGCCTATATTCCTCGATTTGTCTCTTGTTAATTAAACGACCTTAGTTAATCAGGCACTTTTGTCAATGTTGACTTCCACGTAATGGATTTTAAGGAATGGTGTGCATTGAGTGGTGGTCACTTTTAAAAAAAAAAGACAAGCACACACCTAAGAATTTGTAACTTACGTGCCATAAATATTCTTGATAAAGTCCATTCTCTGGTTTTTCAGTCATGGTGCCTAGAAACGTTTTGGGCTTCTTTTTTTTGCATCAATATTTTTTTCTTTGAAATTCCGCTAGTCATCGAATCATCCTGATATTAATTTAGATTAGGGTGATGATTCGTTTTATGATGGGTGTATTACAGCAGTTTCCAGCAGTAACCAAGAGGCACACATAAAATTTTGCATGATTTAAACAGATGTAGGATGTAACTAATACAGTCGTATATATGTCAAGGTCATACAGTAATGCACTCATTCAGGTTGAGAACAGATTGTGACCAGTTGATGAATCGATAGCAACGTATGCGATTGTACTGGATGATTCGTTTACTGTGGTTAATATCTTTCTAAAGTTTCACAGGTGTTGCAAAACAAGTTGATGTTCCACTCAGTGATCAAGTTCATCCTTTTTTTTTTTTTTTTTTTTTTTTTTGAAATTATGCAAGGTTATGTTTTATAATGGGATGATAATCTATTGATTATCCCAACATACGAGTTATTTGTTTATAAAAAAAAAAAGATGAGAGTTTTTTTTTGGGGGGTTTTTTTTTTCGTGTCTACTTTGATGGTCTTTTTTTGTGTGTGGAGCAACTCAAGTGGAGAGAACCTGTTTTTTATATATATATATGTGTATAAGGGGTTTTATAGAATGAACTCGTTTGATATCTACTTTATGTTTTAATGAATAATCACAAGTTTATATATTTGTATCATGTTGCTCCAAGAAAATTAGACCATTTTCTTGCGTGTGTTTCTTTTTTTTTTTTTATATGGGAAGGCTGAGGAGTAAATTTTTTATTTTTATTTTACTAGGGCTGTGTATTGATCCAAAGGGTTTACATTCTTGGATAATAAAGGATGAGCTCACTTTTTTTTTATAATGATTGATTAGGGTTTTCGGTTGATTTAAAAATGAAAAAAAAAAAGATCGCCCCACTTGAGAAAGGGAGAAAGAAGGAGTAAGATGTATGTAGTTTAGATTATAAAAAGAAGGGCTATTTATAAAATATCCCCTTGGAAAAAAAAAACCCGAAACGGGGAGAGAGAGAAAAAAAAAGTTTATAATTAGAGTAGTTGACAAGAAAAAGTAAAAATTTTGAAAACGTACTAGAAAAGGTGATACAAGGACGATCACTTAGTGTGACACGGTTACCTAGGGGATCAATGTTTGTTTACGTCTCTATTTTTTAATTGACAAGCGTGTTGACGGTGTGTTATACAAAGAGGTGAGGGGGGGTAAATAAAAAGGTTTATTTAGTGAGTTATAGAATATGAGTGTGTGTAAGAGAGAGAGAGAGATAAATATTTTATTGTTTAAGTAGAGGGGAAGATCGGTTTAACCTGCAATGGAGGTAGGTGCAGCAGGTGGCCATTGAAATTTAGAATCACGTAATTTAGTCACACTGGGTTGTCTTTGTTTCAACTTGGTGCGTTGTGATCCACTATTATTTTTACCAGAGCCAATAAGACTTTGGAGTTCAGCTTGTTGACCTTGTTTCATCACAGAGATTTGTTCTTGATAAGACTGTTGTAGATGAGCTACCTGAATAGAATGATTGTGTTGCGACTGTTCAAACTCGACAAGGATTTGATCCAGTTCATCATCGACAGTGGATTTAGCTTGATTTTCCGCTAGTTTTAATCGTTTATTCAGTTGATTCATATCCGTCTCATGCTGGAGTTGAAGTTTCTTGAGGTGGTGTAATTGTTCCTGTTCCAACGTCTTTGTTGCATTCTCATGATTGATCTTTAATTGCTTTAAAGATTTTTGTTGTTGAAGTAAGGCATGGTCCTTTTCTGCAATGACTTTTGCGTGTGATTCCAAAATGGTTTCATGGTTTTGTTTTTGCGCCTATAGAATACAAAAATAGGGATATTAAGACGTCAATCTCTTTTTTTCTCTCTCTTGGTTTTTTTTTTTACCTCTAGTTGCTGGTTAAGTTCATCTAATCTTTGTATTAAAAGACGATCGTTTTCAAGATCCATGGTGAGACGATTTAATCTTCTTTGGTTGTCTTGGTCATGTGTAAACGATTGCTTTGGTTTTCTATCTCTTCGAGTTAATTGGGAACGAAGTTCTGCCAATTCGTTTTCTTTTTCAGATAATCTATCGACTGCAATTTTATTCTACAAAATAAAAAAGATTGGGTGATTAGACTCCTTGTGTGTGTGCACGGTGTAGGTTTCCCTCTTTCCCCCCTCCCCTTACGGTTTCTTTAAGTTCTTCTAATTGAGCTGTTACTTGTTGTAAAGCAGGTTTAATTAATTCAGCTCTCTCAGCGTTCCATTGTGCTTTCAATTCTTCAAGTTGTAAATCCTTTTCTTGAAGTAGACGATCTTTTTCTTCGAGTTGTAAATAAATTTCATTGTCCCTTTCTTCTTCCGAGGGACTTTCTTTATCGTCCGCTCGATGCATTAATAATTCTTGTAATCTTTGATTGGTTTCTTCTAGGAGGGCTTCCTTTTCAGCTAAAGTGGAGATGGTTTCTTTATGACGGGATTCTAATTTATATAATTCCTTTTGTAATCCATCATCCGTTGAAGATTGCTGCTGTGGAATTTCCATAGATTTAATACTGAGTTCTTTTCGAAGTTGAGCTAATTCTTCTGTTTGCTTTGTAATTATTTCCAAGTGCTTTTTGTTCTATAAAAAGATAGTTAGGATGCTGTTCGAATAAAAAAGGAGAAAAAAAAAAAAAGAGATGGTTGCTCACCATGGATTTTAGATCGCTACACTCTTGTTTTATTTGAGCTACGGCAGCAGCAGCCGCAGCAGATTGATGACTTGCGATACTAGCATGTCGACTTAGATTGCCTGTATGAATGGAAGCAGCAACAGAAGTAACAGCAGCAGAAGCAACAGCGGTGGTGGTGGTAGGTGTGGGAGGTGTGGGTATGAATTTATCATTGGAGATACTATTTTGTCTACTAGTAAAACTACTGATATTCGTACTACTTGGTTTTCTACGTGCTCCCAAGCAAGGCATAATCATAAATAAATAAAAAGAAAAGATGAAAAAGAAAAGAAAGCAAATTGACGACAATCCGGGGGTGAATTTATATAAAAGGAGACCCTCTTTTTCTCTCTCTTTCTTTCTTTCTCCTATAGGTTTAAATGATGCCATTCTCCCGTACTCCCTTGAACCTACTCCAACCCCTTCTTTTAGAGCCAAGTTTTTTTAGTTGGTAAGTGTATAAATTATTTATTATAAAATCTTTCTCTCTCTCTCTCTCTCTTTCTCTCCTTTCTTTCTTTTTTGTCTGGGCCCTGAAATTATATGTTACACGACAAAAGAGAATGGATGAGATGGCTAGTACCGTTCATTCAAGACATAACGAAGATAGAGTTCGTCAATGAAATGAGCATGTCTTTGCAAAGAAAAGAAAAAAAGGTTAAAACAGAGGGTACAAAAGGGTGATTTTTTTTTACCTTATTCCTGGTGGTCTAACTTCTTTAAAGTAGCGAAGAGCGTCTGGTACAGAGACACCAAGTCTTTCAATCATGTAACAGCAGATAAAGAAACCAGTTCTATTGAATCCATAATGACAATGAACAGCGATTTGTGCTTGAGGGTTTTTCTGCCAGCAAGAGGCAGCAATGTCATTGAATTGAGCTACTTCTTCACGGGTAGGTGGGATCTTGGAAACAGTTTTAAATTTAATGTATTCGATACGACTTTGTTCAAAATCAGTGGATCGATAAGGCGGTGTATCATTGGAGATATCAATGATAAAGCGAATTTCTGGATATTTAGCAAGGAGAGCTGATGGACAATGATTGGTGTCTGTTTGACGCATCACTTTCATGGCTCGGAAGAGAGACTGACCGATCGGTACCTCAGTGATGTTGGCAATACTAGCCCATTTCTCATAATTCTTGAGATCCCATTTGTTCT